AAACAAAAATTTTTGTTTAATGTAAAGATTCTGCTATATTATTAAGATCAATATGCTCAATTTTAAGCTAGATTGAAAACTAATAATTTTAATGACAAAGATATTAATTATGATTTTTTTTTTCATGTAACTTTTTATGCTAAGTAGTTTTTCTACATTTTTCTTGATTACTACAATCCACTTTGTAAAGATTCCTGATAGTTAAGTTTTTTACCATTTCAAAAACATCTTTTAAATTTGCTTTAAACTATGTTCTTCAATTTTCCCACTTTATATGCACTTCTCTCTTTCAGATTTCTTAATATAATGTCATCTTATTTGTATAGGTTCTTTGTTTCTTGGTTCTCTTCCACTGTCAAACATTTAAATATTACTCTTAAAATTGTATTCTTAACTTTGTGTTGTTGATTTTCTTCCATGTATTGTTTCATGCACATTAGGAAGAAATTGTGAAAATTTATTACTGTAATGCTAACAAATAATTAAAAATATAATCTTTGAATNATTTTTTTTTTCATGTAACTTTTTATGCTAAGTAGTTTTTCTACATTTTTCTTGATTACTACAATCCACTTTGTAAAGATTCCTGATAGTTAAGTTTTTTACCATTTCAAAAACATCTTTTAAATTTGCTTTAAACTATGTTCTTCAATTTTCCCACTTTATATGCACTTCTCTCTTTCAGATTTCTTAATATAATGTCATCTTATTTGTATAGGTTCTTTGTTTCTTGGTTCTCTTCCACTGTCAAACATTTAAATATTACTCTTAAAATTGTATTCTTAACTTTGTGTTGTTGATTTTCTTCCATGTATTGTTTCATGCACATTAGGAAGAAATTGTGAAAATTTATTACTGTAATGCTAACAAATAATTAAAAATATAATCTTTGAATACTTTCTATAGAAATGACTTTTATTTCTAATAAAGCTTTTATAATTCAAAACAAATATTATGAAAGTATAATATAATATAATATATTTTATCTAATAAATATGTATATTAGACATTATTATGTTTTAATACTCACTTTGCATTTGATATTTTATTTTTGACTCATATTTTTTATATTTTAAACTTTAAAATCTGGCAAATCAGGCTTTACAAATTTCAATATTTATTTGTTCATATCTGAATTGTTTATATTAAAGATCAATTATGACTTGGATTCATTTGTAAACAAGATGTTATTGACATCAATTTAAATAATAAAAATACAAATTTTTTCTTAATACAGAATGGTGAAATTTTTTGTTTACTTTTTTATTCCAGTAAAAATTTTATATAAGTGCTTTCTCATTAAAATTAATATAATTCAATTTTGTTATACATATTACAATGCTTAATACACTAATCAGTGTAAAGTTAATTTTAAAAAAAATTATTGCCAAATATACATTCTATATTATTTATTAACTTTAATCATTGAAACTATGATTTATTGTATAAATCTGTTAAAATATGTATTTGACAAAGAAAAACATTTAGTGATATAATTATAATCTGAACTTTCATATTAATAGTGAAATAATTATACTTTGAACAAAATGTTTTTGACATATTACCTCCAGATTTCACTAAAATAAATTCCATAAAAGAATAACCTATAAAGTAACTTATTTTAAATATCTAAATGTATAGTAAATAAATTTTTAAATTTTTTATTAATACATATTTATGTTCTTTCAAATAATTGAATATGTAATTGTTTAAATGACTTTTCATTTTTCTTTCTTTCAGCTTGAAGAAGTCTTAGATGTAATATTAAGTATAATGGAAAATCGAGTTGTTAAAGATCAGTTATTTTTATTAATGTATGAGCCTGGATGTTCAGAATTGCTTTATTGCCTTATTATAAATCCAGAATTTTCTGAAAATTTAAAATTAAAAGTTTTAAAGGTATAAACATACATTTATGCTTAAATTAACACATTTTAAAACTTTTCTCTCAAATTATTTTTTTGAAATGTAAAATAATAATTTCTAGGTAATAGCAGGTTTACTTAAGACAGATAAAGTATATGAAAAATCAAAATCTCGCTTAAGATTACATGATATTGGATTTGGAAGTTTAACAAGTCTTCTTACAACATCTAATGTTACATCAAATATGATAAATGTATTAATGGACCAAATTCTTATGACAGGTAATAAAACTTCTATGCTTTTAATTTAAAAAAAAATAATATACAGTGGTGCCTTGTATAACATACATTTCGAATAACAGACACTGCAAACAACAGACTTTCTGTTTGGCCGTTACGTGACTCGAACAACGGACTTTCCGTTCGGCAGTTACGTGAGGCAAACAACTGACTTTCTGTGAACAAGTGCAAATGATGTTTCCATTTTTTGCTGTTGCCAATGATAATCTGCTATTTTTATAATATATTATTATTATTAGAATATATTATTAGTATATGTGAAGTACAGAGCTCCTGTTGGGATTAGGCTTGCTCCCTTGTTTATTACGTACATCATCTCAGTGCATTATTCAAGTGTTGTGCAAATCATGGCTTCTAAAAAACAGAAAGATGATTTCAATTGAAACAAAGCAAGAAATCATCAGAAGGAGTGAAAGTTGACTCCTCTCGTCAAATGGGGAGAGATTAAGGAGTTTACCAACACTCATTATCCAAATAGAGCTGAGGTCAACAGGATCAATGATCTCTACAATGACACCATTGCCTGTCATTTCTGACAGGTGCTGAAGAAGAGAGAGAAACAGACCACTTTGGACATGTTTTTCAAGAAGCAAGCTGCCAAAAAACAAAGGATGGAACATGACCCTGCAAGCTCTGGTAGCCTCTCCTGAATCTAACTCCGATTAAAAAACAATAAAAAGAGACCTGCTGCAATGTGTAAAAAGTCTGTATCTGTATGAATGTGTGAAGAAAGTGTTCCTCCATCTCCTCCNAGGATGGAAGATGACCCTGCAAGCTCTGGTAGCCTCTCCTGAATCTAACTCCGATTAAAAAACAATAAAAAGAGACCTGCTGCAATGTGTAAAAAGTCTGTATCTGTATGAATGTGTGAAGAAAGTGTTCCTCCATCTCCTCCTCACAACATCTGACTATCCGGCATAATTGATGACTGCTCCATTTTCATTTTTTTATGGTACAGTACAGTTATTTTATGCTGTGGAACGAATTATATGTTTTAACATGTATTTCTATGGAAAAATGCATTTTGTATAACGGACTTTTCATTTAACGGACGTGCACCTGGAATGGATTAAGTACATTATACAAGGCACTATTGTACATATTACTGAGAAAATTAATTATTAAGAAATTAGAATGTTTCATAATCATAAATTGTTTTCAATAGTTAATTTGAAAGTATATAGTAATCAAATTATTTTAAAAAAAAAAAAAGCTAAAACATTTGAAATGTCAATTATACTTAAAACACACAAGTATAATTTGTCAAATATATAAATTCATGTTATTTCTACATATATTATATATACAGAATTTGATTTAAAAGTTTGTCCATAATTTTATAATTAAAAGAAAAATATTTTTACTCCTCAAAATACTGGAATAGTAAATCGGAATTATACTACACCGGGTTAAAGTAAACAATAAACAAACATACCAGGAACCTGTTGCCAGTGTGAATTGCATTCGCTTAACAGTCATTAGTTACCTGAAGAAGAACTTTCAAGTTCAAAATTGTTCGTAATGCTCTGTTTTTCTGAGAAGCACACCGGCAACAGGTTCCTGGTACATTTGTTTATTGTTTACTGGAATAGTATTAAAATAGTAAGAACTGGAATAGTATTTTTTTCCCAGAAAAAATAATACATTCAATTCCTGTCAATATGTTATTGGTTTATGCAAAGTCTCTGTTAGTGCAAAGTAGATTTACAGTCCCATGGATGAGGATAGGCAATTCAATGTTAATAAATATGGTTAATGCATAACATTGGTTAATATGTAATATTAAGCTTGTCTTGGTCTGATGAATTCAATAACAATTGTATTACATTGTTTAATACAAAGCACACTGCTTCGAGTTTCCCTGAAGCCACATGAGCCAAAATGAAAAAAAAAAAAAAAACACAAGATACATCATGATCAGAGCATGTTTTTTGACTTTAATTTGTTGGCCACAATACTTATGATGATAATGTTGTCATCATTGGCAATGTAATTGCGTGCAAATGCCACCCTAATAATGTTCACTCCAACTCAAAAATTACTTCTCTTATAGTTGGTGCTTTGTAGATTGTGGCACTGTCTGTTGAATGATTACTTAAGACATGAACAATGGAAACCATAAATTTTGTTTACTTTTTTATTCTCATGGGCACTAAGAGGATTTTTTTCAAGCTTATTATGGGTTTGGCATTGCCCACAGTAGCACAGCCAGGTGTGAGGGATGGGGTCTGATATATCTAAGACATACTACCCCAAAAAATTTCTGTGATTTTTAAACCTGCCCAGATTTGAATCTGAGTTTACTAGAATAGTAAGCTGATGCCTTAACTATTTTGGTTATCTCATCAGTAAGGAAGTTCACAGGATTGGGAAATTTTTCAATTAAAAATTTATAGTTTTATGAAATAGTTCTTATTATTAATTGTTTTAATAATGGGAATAATAAAACAACCAAATTAAAATATTAAAAACTGTAATTTGTTTTTAATTTTAAAGTTAAAAAACCATTTCTATCAGAATCCAAGCAAATAAGCTATTTTTAAATTTGTAAAGACTTACATGTATTTAACTCCTGGATTCAACTTGGCAGTTATATCCAATAGATTCAATCATTGTTGTACTGACTTTAGCCAATGTTGAAAAACAAACATTAATTTTTTTTCAGCCACTGTATCTCAATAAAGTGCATGTTTGGAGTAACACACAAGTTTATTTGCTTGTTTATTTTTTTAAAACATCCAAATAAGATAAAACACAGTGAAATAATTAAGAGAAAATTTAGCCTTTTCTGTTTAATGGTTTGATCATTGATTTTTTGTAGTTTACTTAATACAAAACACATTCAATAAAACCTATAACATCCATTAATGAAAATTTTAATGTGAAAACTTTGATGAATGTTTTCGATCTTAAAGAAGATCTGCATCAGGTCAATAATTATATTCCAAATTGGAATGTGCAGAATTTTTCAAAAATTTCAAAATAAATAGAACAAAAACATAATGATGTAAATCAAACATATAGGTAATTTAGAAAATTCTACATTTTCTGAAGAATTAAAACACATCAAATAATTTTGATGAGAATATAGAGTTGACTTCATATCAAAAACAGCAATATTTTGAGGAGACAGCCATGTGTTTGGAAAATCAATGCCCTGGATGTAAAATTATTAGTTTAGAAGTGATTTGAAAATTTAATGAAATTACTTACATGCCCAAAATGTTATCAGCAGAATTTAAAGATAGAAAAGCATGTTGTATGCATGGCAATGAAAATCAGGTAATAATGACATAAATTAATTAATATTATTTTGCAATATTTTATGTTTTATGTGTATCTAATTTATTTTTATAATTATTAAAAAATATTACCGATTATGTATATTTATATGTTTGATTTATATCATTAGTGTTTTTGTTCTATTTATTTAAAAATTTTTGAAAAAATCTGCTCTTTCCAATTTGGAATATCATTGTTCACCTAATACAGATCTTGTTTAAGATCAAAAACATTCATCAAAGTTTTTTACATAAAAATTTTTGTTACTGGATATTAAAAGTTTTGTTGAATGTGTTCAATAATTTGTTGCAGTTATTGAGAAGGTAATTTTACTTAATACAAAGTGCCAATTTTTAAGTTTCTTTATATTTATATTAATGGGTTTGACTGGATTTGATTCAGATTCAATTACATGCTTTAAAAATAGAGCAAGTTTAAAATCTTTGAAAAAATTTTAAATTAAATTGTTGACAGCGGCTTCAATAATTTTTATATAATGGTATTTAAATAAAAATTATAATGTAGAAGCATATTCTTTATTGTTAGTAATAAAAAGTATAATATGATATCAGATGAGAGTCATAAAATTATTTCTTTAGTAAAATTATTATTTGAATATACTGCATATAAATTCACATATATGTATATAATAATTCTACTTTTCTGTTAAAATTGAACCTTATATCAATTTATTAACATTACAGTTTGATAGATAATGTTAAACTTGTGATATTATTTGTTAAAAATAATTTATTTACAGAAACTTTACCAGCCTATCAAGGTGCTGTGTTACTCTTGCAATTTATTAGAAATATGAATATTGACATTAAGCTTGAATCAATACAAAAGGTATGAATCTACAACATCTTTTTAATTATTGAATTTTGGGGTAGATAAACATTTAAAAAGATCTGNTTCTATCTTTTCTAATTTTATTTATTTTAATTATATAGAATTGTTACTTCCATTTATAAATTACCAATAGTAATTTATGAATATTTGAAATCTTTATTAACTTTTGTATGTATTACGTTTTTTCATCTGGACATTCTCCAGTAATGGAAAAGTGACTGAAGAATGTCAGAAAGGTCAAACAAAAAAAATCATACATACATACATACGAAATTGAATAAGAGAACAATTAAAGAAAAGTTAAGAACCCAAAATGCATATTGTTTTTGATATAAGAAATATGATAAAGTTAAGCTCAAGGTTTCTGACTAGTGTATAGTTTAATGAATAAAAGAAATGTTTTAGTCATTAAATAATTTAGAATACAAGAAACTTGCATCCAAATGATGAGAATTGAGTTGACTTGGAATTATTGTTGTTGAGTACTTAACTGAAGATATTTTTATCTCATACAATTGGAATATAAGGTTATCTTACATAAATCTTCAGGATACTCTGTTTGCTTTTGAAATCTGTCTGATAGCTTGTGGATTGTGGACAAGTTTACAATAAACCAGTTTAACTCATTTTGAGATTAACCATCCTCAAGCAGTTTATTAGTTTTACTCACTTTGTAGGATGATAATTTTAAGATATCTCCATAACTTGTATTTTAATATTATTTAATTTATACAGACTCAAAATAAAATACAGTGGTGATGTACGTACAGGGTGGTTAGAATTTAAACTGACAGTACTCAGACTTGTGGAACCAGCTAAAGTGAATCAAATGAAACTCAGTACACATATTATTCAGATCATGATTAGAGATTTATGGGGGAAAATTAGTTGTAATTTTCACCACCAGAGAAGAATTAGGCACTGTTAGGCAAAAATGTATGTTTCTGGTTGTGGGATTTTTTTTGAAAGATCATGTTTATCAGAGGCAAATGAACTCCATATCAGAGTTGAAGCTCAGTATAGTGTAATGTGTCTCTCAGATTCCTCCTGAAATTTTACGTGCAGCAGTTGATAACATGATTTTATGATTGCGACATATGGTTGACAGAGAAGGATCTTACTGTGAGCACATACTGTAAATGTGTAAAATGAAATTTTATTTTTCTAATAAAATTTTTTCTTCTTGTCTTATAATTGTCATCCTTACAGTGCTATATTTTTCTCTGGTGGTGAAAATTTCAAGTAATTTTTTTCCTTTGTAAATGTTTTCCCCATGATCTGCTTTGCATGTGTACCGAGTCTCATATGATTTGGTTTAATAGAGACTGCTCTACATGTGTCTGAGTACCATCAGTTTGTAACCACTCTGTATTAAAACATTGAAATTAAAATTAGAATACAAAATTTAAAACTTAAAATTAATGTTTTTTTATACTTTATTTAAATTCTATTTTAATTGTATATGAGCTGTTTACAGGCAAATCTATTAACTCTTTTTGTTATACAAAAAATGTAAAATTAATACATCTTTGGAATAATCGTTATAATTTTATATGCCATTAAAAGCTACACCTGTAATAGTAAATTCTAAAATGCTTATTACATTTAAAGTTTAAAAAAGTTACAAGTTTAATTACAAAAGTTACAAGTTTAAAAAAGAATATATATCATTTTATCAATTTCTCTATTTTTTTGTTTCTTGAGTTAATCAATTTGGCAAATGAATGGCTCATACACATTTGAATTATTTTAAAATTTTTGTGTATATATTTTACATTTTTCCTAATTTTGATCTTCCAATATTAGGAAAAATAGTTTTTTAAAGAAATGAATAGTAGCTTATGTCTTAAATGAGAACATAAATTTAATTAAAATATGCATCAGAGTTTTTATTTATAATAATTTAAAAGAAATAATTATAGAAAATGATACTGTTAATTAGAAATTAATTATAAAAACTGTTCATTTAAAAAAAATAAATGAGTTTCATATAATTGTTTTATTTTTATTTTAGCTTAAACAATCGCTAAATCGTAGCACATCCAATTGTGTAACCATAAGCAAGCTTACTGGTTGGCAGGAATGCTTATTAGGATTACTTATAAAATATCCTGTATCAGATAGGAAAGAATCTTTTTCAAATATACCTACTAATTTAATTGATTTCTCTTCTGATATCTCATCAGATATGTCACCTGAGTTTAAAAATGTTTCAAAAGCAGAAAATAGAAATGGTAAGTTGAAAAATTTGCAGCTTTAAAGGGAATCATTAGATTAGTCATATTTTGTCTTCTTTATAAGTTCATGAAGAAGGAACATAACAAATTCAGAATATTTGTGTAGAATTCTTTAGTCTTGTTTTCTTTTTGCAGATTCTAATTCTTGAAGATTAGTATTAATTTTGGATTTTAGTTTTTGCAATTTTAAATAAATATTTTTATTTAGAATCTCCACGTACGGGAAGTGTGAGAAGGTTATCAAGACGTGCTTCTTGGTCTCAGCATAGTATAGAGGAAAGTGTTTCATTACCTAAAACACCACAATTACTTATGCAATTGAGAGAACATATATTTGATTTTGATTTTCCAAATCTTTTAAACAGGCAAGTCCTAAAATAAATTTTTGTTAACTTTTATAGCTAAATTAAATGTACACCGTTTACAATATAATCAACTAAAATATAGTGATAAAATATTAAAAATTTATATATATAATTAACTATAAACAGATAAATTTAAATGTCAATTACTATATTGCAAAGAAATTGTATATATCCTGCTTAAAACATATAACTTTGATATAAGAAAATTTATCATTATATCAAATTAAGTAAAAAAATATCTGAGAAGTGATGAAAACTGTATATTATTAATAATATAGAATATAATGACTGACTGACTGGATTTTGTGGTTTAGCCATTGTTTTATATTCTTTCAAAACACTAAGCATTTTAGTCATTATTTATAATTTCTTTGAATAATATATACTGTATATAAATCATACAACACTGCTTGTTAAGTTTACCTATGATTCTTAAATTAAAATATGTTTTCAACTCCCTTTGAGTCTTCAGTTTTTGTACATTTCGAATGATGTTTACAATTTTATATATATATATAATTGTATAATTGTAGAATGTAGAAGGCAACAAGAGGGCAGACCTTTTTGCCCACACAGCCCCAGATAGAATATATCACTGCTCATTCAGCAAAATTCTACCTTCCTGGCTCAAGAAACAGATCAATTAGATTCTTGGAATGCCTAGCAAAACAGATGGGATAGCAGCAACACTGGAAGACTGACACACAGCTTCATCCCCAACATCAAACTCAGAAGAACAAACAAGTATATCATTCCATCTTTCCAGTTGACTCAGCTTCTAACTGGTCATGGCAATCTCAATACTTATCTACGTAGGTTCCTCCACAAAACTAATGGCCTGTGTACTTGCCAGCTCAAAGAAGAAGAGGATCCTATACCCACAATTTATTACTGCCCGCTTTATTTGACTCAAAGAAGGACCATCATCAGGACTATTCAAATGAAAACTACCACTGGCCTTGCAACAGTAGGACTCTCATGGATAATATAAGTATCCACAGGAACCTTGTGGAATTTGCTCATGGTATAAACAAACTGAACTAACTCTGCCCATTCTGGCCTGTTCTCCCTCCTCTCCCTGGTTCCTGCTTGTGTTCTCACTGCACCAATTGAATCTTTGAATTCTGGACTTTTATCAACATCCCAGGACATTTTGTTTATTTGTTCACTGTTCTTTATTCTGCACATAATTTTATTGTTTTAATCTATATATATAAAATTGCTTGTCCTGACTGACTGAATGACTCACTCAGTCATATTTTATATATATGTTACTGTGAAAGACTGAAATTANCATAATTTTGATAATAAATTATATATTTTGAATAAAAATTATACATATTACTATATTTCTATATTTTATTGTATTCAGTAACATATTATTGGCATATTATATATACTGGATAGTTATAAAATAAGCATCTCTATTTTGAGCTGTAGCTTGAAGGAATAACCCAAATGAAACCAAAATTTAAGAAAGGAGGAAGAAGAATGGAACAAGAGGAAAAAATAGTTTAAAAATTGCCAATAGAGTGTGCTGTAAAGTTTGAAATGTAATGTGTAATGCAAGAAGAAAGAATTAAGGTGCAAAAACCAATGGCATACTGGTATTGGAAAATATCACAGTGTGGTTATGCTGTCGCATGGCATTGATGATCTAGTTCAGGTTACACAAAAATTGTCAATGCCATGTGACAGCATAACCTCACTGTGATATTTTCCAATAAATACGAGTATTTCATCAGTTTTTGCACCAGTATTACACATTATATTTCAAAGTTTACAGCACCCTCTAGTGACAATTTTTTAAACTATTTTTCTCCCTTGTTCTATTCTTCTTCCCCCCTTCTTAAATAGTATGTGTACCAATTTTGGTTTCATTTGGGTTATTCCTTCAAGCTACTAACAGCTACAAATAGAGATACTTATTTTATAACCATCTGGTATATACTAATTATGGAATATACCAATAAGTTATCAGAAAAAATCTAGCAACAAGTTGCTTAACTTTCCTAGCAACATTTAAAATTGTTTGTGTGGCACCATTTGTTATGAATTTAAAATATAAAAAGTTTTTTAATTAAATAATGTAACAGATGGTGCCACCAAATGTTGCCAGGAAAGTTATTCAACTTGTTGCTGGATTTTTAATCCTTGTGAGGCCATTCTCTGTTTTGTAATGTCAAGAAAGGCAAAAAATTTGGGGGGTTTTTCTGTATATATGGATGTATTTGTGTGTGGGGAGCACAATTTTGTTCACCCTCTTTGAAACTTAATAACTCCCATGGTTTTTGTTGAAATTTTCTGAAAGTTTGCAGGGAGGTTTGTGTATCAGTGGTATTGATGCTATTAAATTTTGATGGTTAAAGGTTGAGGGGTAGGGAGATAAAGGGGGTCATGTTATATCTGTAGTAGGGTCTGACCAAATGATGATTTTACTCATTATTAGCATTTACAATTTTTTACAAAACCTGTCCCTATCCTCAAAATTTTCTGAAATTTTCTGAAAGTTTGCAGGGAGGTTTGTGTATCAGTGGTATTGATGCTATTAAATTTTGATGGTTAAAGGTTGAGGGGTAGGGAGATAAAGGGGGTCATGTTATATCTGTAGTAGGGTCTGACCAAATGATGATTTTACTCATTATTAGCATTTACAATTTTTTACAAAACCTGTCCCTATCCTCAAAATTTTCTGAAATTTTCTGAAAGTTTGCAGGGAGGTTTGTGTATCAGTGGTATTGATGCTATTAAATTTTGATGGTTAAAGGTTGAGGGGTAGGGAGATAAAGGGGGTCATTGGTTCAAATGGTCCAA